TCCGTTCAAAGCTCTGCGCAAATTGCGACGCCTGGATTTGCACGGTAACAATCTAAAGCAGATCAGCAGCAAGGCGATGAGCGGCCTCAACAACCTGGAGATACTCAATCTGGGATCGAATGCCCTGGCCAGCATACAGCTGAATGCCTTCGAGCATATGCTACGGCTGAACAAGTTGGTCTTCAAATCCTTGAACTTCATCTGCGACTGCGAGCTGATTTGGTTCCAGCAGTGGCTCAAGAATCGCTTCCCTCAGCAAGCCGAACACGCAGTCTGTGGCTATCCTGAGCATCTATTGGATCGCCACCTGAAGTCTTTGAGTGTTTCAGAGTTGCTGTGCGGTAAGTGTTTGCCCCCACTTGTAAATGGGAAATTATTTTTTTGTTGCATATATTTGAAGCACAACTGTCTAATAATACGTCCTTAATATTCAAGTCAATACAAATTGACAAAGATATGAACATTGAAAGGAAAGAACACTTTTTTTTAAGTGCCATTTTTGAAGTGTCCAAATTAACTTTAAAAATAGTCAATCAAACTTTAGCAGTCAAATTAGCAGACTTAATAAAAACCAAAAACCAAACCGTTTTTTTTTTAGTTTTGTATGATAGTTTGCAACATTTTTTGTCACCGCAAAACAAAATCAGAGACCATGTTTTTGCAATAAAAAAGTTACTAAAATGTATTTAATACGGATATTTTTCGATGATCATTTAGAACAGTTTAGTAATTTTCGCTTTTTTTTTGACTGCAACTGGGCGTAAGAGATGTAATCTATAGCCCACAAACTCACCGATTTCTTTCTTTTAGTGGACTCCCCGAAACCGAGGCTAGAACAGGAACCGGACAACATGCTGGCCGTGAACGGAGCCAACATCACGCTGCAGTGCATAGCCAGTTCTCCGACAGCAGCTTCCCTGGCCGCCGCCGACGAGCTGAAGATCAAGTGGCGCCACGACAACCAGCATGTGCAGGAGCGTCCCAGCTCGCAGCACGATGGCTCCAGCACGGAGACGCAGATCCACCACGACGCGGGCACCAACCAGACCTCCATCTACGGCTACCTGAAGCTGACGAATGTGACCTACGAAAGCGCTGGACGCTATCAGTGCGTGGTGTCGAATGCCTTCGGCACCACTTATGCGGAAAAGTTTAAGATATCTATAGGAAGTAAGATCAGCTTAGGACTGTAACCACTATTTATGCTAATTTCAATGTTTGTACGACCAGTTCATCCTACGTTCCTGCAAGTGCCCTCCAATTTGACACTGGATGCGGGGGAAACGGCTCGTCTGGTGTGCTCGGCCAGTGGAGATCCCACGCCCGAGATTGCGTTGCAGAAGTTTGGCGGCAGCGAGTTCCCGGCGGCCACCGAACGCCGCCTGCAGGTGATGCGCGAGGAGAACGCCTTCCTGATAACCAATGCCAAGCCGATCGACTCGGGCATCTACACATGCACTGCGGTGAGTGCGGCGGGTGAGATAAAGGTCAATGCCACACTGGTGGTGAATGGTAAGCACTTTCTCAGTAACTATCTTAACTTGTGCTAATGCTTATCCTTTTTGATGCAGACAAACCCCAGCCCAGCATTCCCCTGGTGCACCAGGAGGTGATTGTGGGCCGCTCCTGTGTGCTGCAGTGCCTCAGTGAAACAGCCAATGCTGACATTGAGCTGGAGCATCCGCACCGCGAGTGGTTCAAGGAGAACAAGCCCATACACGTTTCGCCAACAGCGCCGGACGGAGATCGCTACTATTTTTCGGATAACAGGGAACTGCTGGTTATCCTGAATGCCCAGTCCAACGATGCCGGTCACTTCCGCTGCGAGATAACCGACAATTCGCGCACCTTTACGCTGCAGTCGGAGCTGGTGGTGGTCAAGGAGAACCTCAACTGGGACGTCCTGCTGATGGGCATCATTCTGCTGTCCGTCATCTGCGTCGTGGCGGACTGCTGCATCATCTGGTGCACTCTGCGCTACCAGAAGCGCAAGCTGCGCATGAGCCTGGCCGCCGAGCGATTGGCTGCCCGCACTCAGGCCAGTCTGCACTCCACGCTGGACAAGGATCAGACGCAGCTGACCACGCTGAATCGTACGCAGCTGAGGCCGCACCAGTCGCAGCTGCTTCTCGACGGGATCTCCACTCAGCAGCAGCAGCAGCAGGCGCAACTCAGGCCGCGCAGTCTGGCCGATCTGGATTGTGGCAATGGCGAGGCGGGCCACAGTCGCCTCATTGTGACCACAACGCCTTCCTACGAGCAGCGCTGCCTGGAGCAGGGACTTACGCTCAGCTACCTGCAACAGACCGACTTGGAGGCCCAGCAGGATCACCTGTCCAGCAAGGATTCGGGCACGGGGTCAGATGCGGCAGTCAAGCGCAGCCTGGAGGACTTTGTGTTGGCCATGCCCAGGCACAAGCCACATCACACAGACGACGAGGAGGATGAGGAGGATAAAGACAACGACCTGCAGTATGCTCCCACTAGGGCGCTCGGCATCTCCGAGTACGACGACATGGAGCTGTACGAGCTGAATTATGCTGCCGCCGAACAGCAGCACTTCCTGCAGAACAACAATCACAACTACGACGGTGGCGGGGGCGGTGGGGGCCAAGTTGGTGGTTCCGGAGAAGCGATACCCAAGGTGCTGCCACGTAAGTGCAGTGCAGGAGCCGGAACCAGCGGCAGCGGCAACTACAACGCCATCCAGAAGTGCACCACTGTGGACATTTGAAGGGAGGGCGAAACCAAACCAAGCAGGATGATCAGGATAGAAATACCAAAAACTGGCGGCTGCCCTTCGCAGTGGCCACCAACCGCAACCCGCCCCCAAAACGAACAAAGACTGTTTTACTCGTAATTATAATTTGTAGATGTGGTTGGTGGCCCAGACTTTTGGACTGGCCACCACCACCACCACCACCGCAGAGCAGGCGGCCTTATCGATGATGCCTTTGCTAAGGGAATAGCACGGCTAGGGCTAGAGAAACATACCAGTGTCTTCGTAATTTATAAAATGAATCGTTAGGATCGATTTTGTGTAACTCGTAACTTGCAACACCTAACATTTGATAATCCGTATATCATGTATTTATAATTTTCTTTCGCTTGTGATATTATTTATTATTTTGATTGCCCGAGTTATAGGCGTAACACATATTCACCTCTGTATATATCACCTAGGGTTTAATTGTAGCTCGTATCTAGTTTCGTAAGTCGAAGCACACTCGCTGATGATCAAGTGGTTGCCAGGAAATCGGCTATGACAACAGCTCCAAACGAGTGGGAGCGTAAGTTTAATGGATATTTTGCAGTTAATTTTTGCTTTTAATTAACTCCTTTCGGTTGAATTTGAAATTAGTTTGCCTTATGTCTGGCCTTGACAAACGTATGAACGGAAACCATTTAAAACAAAGTCAAAATATTTAATAAAATTATGCATTATTCCAATATATAAATGGGTCTTGTTTTATTTTAAAAAGTTAGCATAGACAACTAAATCTAATCTAAAAGAAACTTTTTAAAATAACGATTTATATTGAAGTTTTTTTAAATTGAAAATTGTGAGAATCAGTCTATTCTCAGAGTCCTCCAATTAAAAAACCTCGTATTTGATTTGTATTCTTTTAAATTGTATTGGCTTGTTAAATGCTTCAGGTAAATGCTTGGTCAGTTGGAATCCTCTGAGCTGTCGCTGTAGGCAGCCAAAAGGGAAAGACCAGCTGGTGCTGCAGCTGGCGGATTTGGAGCTTTAGTTTCCGCTGGAACATCTGGGGCAGATGTGGAGCTGGGGTTTGGTTTGGATTCAATAGGAGTCACTACTGAGGCTGCTTTGGGTTTCACCAGAACCAAGGGTGTCTTCCGTTTGACCAAGGGCTGCAAAGCTGAAGCTTTGCTGGATGAAGAGGCGGAAACACTCAGCATGCTGGACTTGGCCTGTTTGGCAGGTGGTGGAGCTGGCAGTGGATCCACCGATTCCTCCTTAATCTCCTCAATGATTTCCTCGGCCACAATGCGACCACCTCCTTCGGATTTGTTCTTAAAGTTGACAGATCTGGAAGAAACAAATGTGTTTAAGGGAAAGGCTTGTGTATGAGATTAGAACCCACTTTATAAAGTCCTCGTCCTCGCGCTCCTCCCGTTCCTGGCGCTCCCGCTCCGTCTCCACCGTGTTGTACTGCTGCAACAGTGTGGTGTAGTCCACCGTCTGCTGGCGCCGGTTGAGATCCCGCAACTCCTCCAGGCTCTCCAGCATTTCGATCTCGTTGCGCGACTGCTGGGTGCGATTCTCGAGCAGCTTCATCGGATTGTTGGCCTCCTCCTCGCGCAGCTCCTGCTCCTCGCGCCGCGCCTGCTCCTCGGCCAGCTTGAGGGCCATGAAGTTCCTTGTGGCCCCCGCCTCGATCTCGTAGTCCGTGTTCTGCGGATCCGTCTTGAAGGAGATCTCCTGCAGACAGCGCGTGCACTTGATGTAGAACCGATAGATCCTGATGCCCAGGTACGTCTCGTTCTCCACATCCTCCTTGCGGGCATTGAACTTCTTGCCCTTGTAAATATATTCCCCGCAGGTCTTGCAGCGCATATTAAATGGAGCCATCAAACGCACGGTGTACTGCCGGTTTTTGGCCAGTTTCATCCGCGGAATCTTCGACGGATCGAAGTCCGGGGGGTAGTATTTCTGCAAAGGATGCGGTTCAGTAGAGGCCCTAAACCTTGCTTAATTATTAATCTTTACTTACGTTTAAAACCTTGCGCTCGGACATTTTGCAGGCTAACAATTATTTTTACCAAAATAAATATGATTATTTACTAGAACAGTGTTGCACAAGTTTCAAACACAGCTGTGTTGTAAAGTGTGAAGAATTTTATTGCGGTAATATGGTTGTCTCGCTCTAACGGGTAAAACGGGTTATTACTTACCGCCAAACTTAAATTCAAATTCAAATCCTTTTGGTTTCGGTTCAAAAATGAACCACAAACCCAACGAAAACAACATAAGCTAGTTTTGACGATGATACATGCACTTTTTATAAATAAAATATATGTACAAAACAGTTTTTTTAAATACAATTTTCCCTCCACTTTAGACGTTTTATGCTTTAGACACATTTTTCTTTGGCTATTATTGCTGCTTAATTTTGTTTGTATAATACAAATGCTTCACATGTTGCTGCTGGTGGTTGGGCCATCGTTTTCGCCCGGTGGACTACTCCTCCGCAGGCCGGAAAACCGAGCGGGCAGCTGCAGGGTGGGCACACCGTTCTCCAGATCGGACATCGGAGCATATGCAACGAAGGCATCCCCATTGCCCACATCCACGTCCGGAAAGCTCACCTTCTTGGGAGGAGCGGAAATGGCGGCTGGTGTAGTCACCGATTTTGGACGTCCTCCATTTTTCAAGGCGGCCCTGGGAATCTTGTGTTTCACCAGCTCATAGGTGCAGGCGTATAGGAACGTGTACTGCTGCTGCGTCTGGACCATCTTCATGCGCTGTTTGTTATTAACGGGTAAATATTAAAGTAAAATTGTTATTACTAAACTGATCCAAAATAATATAGAAAATAAAAATTTGGCAAAAGAATCGAACAAAATCAAACATTGTTAAGGCCAAACACCAACAATTTACACTCAAATTTAAAAAAAAGAAGGAAATGTAATATTTTGAGCAGATGTGTCTATGGCAGCTTAACGATATAGATGTTCGATCAGCGCCATTTGTAATGTCTGTGAAAGTTTCAAGTCTCTCTAGCTTTTAAACTGAACTCACAAACTAATAGTAATGCTGATCAAGAACATATATGTATACTTTGTAGGGTTCAAAATTTATAAAACCTTCGGGGTATTTATAATACCCAAGGGTATAATAGACAACCTGAAAGCGCAGCTTCTTGACCGTCTCGAAAATGTTGATCTTCGATTCGCTCTTCAGGCGCTGCATGATCAGATCCAGGCCAATAAACGTGCCCGTCCTGCCCACTCCCGCACTGCAGTGGACGACGATGGGCGAGTAGCTGGGTCGCCGTTCCGCCTTCACCTTCTTCACCAGGGTGATCAAGTGCATCGGGTCCTCGGGGCAGCCGTGATCGGGCCACTTCTTGAAGTAGAAATGCACCACTTTCTCCTTCAGGCCGTACTTGTCATGCACAACCGTCAGTTCGGTGCGATCGTACAGATCGAAGACCTCCTTGGACTTCACAGTCACTGCCAATCCCCGCATGTTGTACGGATAGTACTCATGGCACTTGATCTAAATGAGAATTTGGATTTAGGTAAGGAAAGTTAGGGTTCAATCCCGATGCTCACCGTGTTGCCTTCGCGGAACTGGGTGACCTGAACAATAACCCGCACGTTGTACTGCAAGATCATGCGCCAAAAGTCCATTACGCTCTCCGGTTTCGGTCCCTGGGTAGCTATGTACTCCTTTTTACGCGTGTGACCCTGTGAAATGGGAAAATTTAATATGTTAAAATAATATAGATATAGATTTTATTTTCTTATAATTTTATCTTTATTTTTATTTTTATTTTTGTGTGTATAAGCCTTTTTAAAATTGGTTCCACAAACGACAGTATGAACAACAAATTGTTTCTTAAGCAGATCAGATCATTTCTACTTTTATATGCAAAAATAAGAGTTAATTTTAAAGATATATTGGATGTACCAAAGGGGCTTCCGCACTGAAACTTACGTCTATAAAGGAGGCGTTGATATAGTCCGATCCCTCAGCATCTATGTCCAGGATTACACGATTCTTGTCGTCTAGAGAACAACAAATTTACAAACTTAGGTTCATAGGTTTAAACTCCATAAGTACTCACAAGGGTATATGTCGGCATAGCGATTCTTGTGGCAACCCAACTCCGAGGCAGAAAAACTCAATTCCAGGGCCACAACGGTGATCTCCTTGAACTCCCGCGCCAATTTCTCCGGCTTGGCCACCTCCGCATAGAAGATGGCAAAGTTCTTGGCAATCACATTGCCAAAGGGATCCTCGATGCCCTGGCCGGAGTCACGTTTCCTGCGGGAAGGGTTAGATATAATAGGGGAAATTATATCAGAGATATAGACCTACCAGGCCAAACGCTTTCGCACCCACAGAACGGCCAGTCCGATGACGAAGGCCAAGATGAGACAACAGCAAACGCTGACCAGGATCAGCGTCACCTTAATGGCCGCTTTGGTTTTGAAATTCAGCACGGCGGCATCGCTGTAACCGGAGGAGGTGAACAGTCGTACCACCACATTGTAGTCCGTATCGGGCAGCAGTGGTCCATTGCAGTACTCCTTGTGCACCTCCGAGCACTTGTCCACGCCTATGGTGAACACTATTTCCTCGGTCGTGTCCACATCCACGCTACTTCGCTGACGAAGAACGGGCTCCGGACGCCACTTTTTCTCCGTGGTCTGGTACTGTAGCCTACAATCCCCGGAACCGTCGGCTCCTGCAGTCTGGTAACTCAAGACATCCGGCCAGTCGCTGTCCCTGGTGACATCGTATTGTAGGGACGGGACTCCCGCACAGTTCTTCTGCGAGAGCAACAGTGCCATGTATGTTATTTCTCCGGATTCTGAAGTCATTATTTCCGCCGGAAGTCGAACCACTGCCGTTTTCGTCGGTTGGTTTGTCTCGTCCACGTTGGCGCGCATTTGCTTGATCAGTTCTTGACTCGGAGCGGTGGGTACTGAAATGTTTTTATGGCTAGAAGTCTTCATTCTTATTCTGTTTTAGTTCCGAAACTTACATCCCGCCGGAGATTGCCAAGCACCCGCCACACTACCACTGAGCTGATTCACATCCCGATTCTTGACAGCCACTTCGACTGTGTAGTTGTATTGCGGCTGCATTTCCGTCTCCGTGTAGGACATCCTTCCCCGGCGATTGTACGGGTCCATCTCCACCCTGCGTTGGAATGCCACAGGCTCGAATTTTTCCCGCACTCCGCTGAAGCCCAGCTGGAAGTACTCGATGTCGCCGTTCGACTTGCAGGGCACCTTCCACGTGACAGTCACATTGGCTCCGTACTGGGTGTTGTCCTTCTCCGGACCCTGTGGCGTTACGGTCAGCTGGGTCACTTTGTCGGAAACTGCAACCATTCTTAGTTAGGTACTTGTATACATTTACTAATAGTTACGGATTGACACTAACTAGAGCCATCAGTTAGGTATTAATATAAATGAAATGCGTTACTTAAAAAAAAAAAAAAAAAAAAAAGTTTAAGAAAATTATTTTTTTTTCATTCAATAACTAAAAACAACACCTTCTTAGATTTCCACTAACAGCAATATATTTGTGGTTAATCCTGAGTCATATGTCGTTAATTACTTAGAATTAAATATTGATTTGCAGATATAGCAAACTTAACTCACCTGAGGGCTTGGTGGTGCCAATTACGGGGACAGTGTACTTTCCCATTCCGAAATCGTTCTGAGCAGCCACCTGCATCATGTACCGCATCGCTGGGGCCAGACCCGTGAAGTTGACATTGAGTTCACCCTTGGTCTCCGACTTGGTGTCGTGGGCGATCTCGGAACAGTCCTCGGGCACAAAGTAACTGGGCTCGTGGCCCATGAGGAAGGCCTGGTAATATTTGATGGGTCCGTTCATGTAGGTGGGTGGCTGCCAGCTAAAAAGTAGGCTGCTATGGGTGCTGTCGTTCAGCTGGACGTTCTCCGGCTCCTCGGGAACTGTAGGAAATTGGAATTTATTCTAATCAAATGCTTTCAGGATGCCTTAGTGACACTACTTACAGAACGTTGTGGTCTGCAGACCAGTCGTGGTCACTGTGTTTGAAGGTCCAGCCACGTTGTAAAGAACCACACTGCAGAAGTAGTTGGTGTATGGGGAAAGTGGGTTCAGAGTGGCATTGAATCCTAACAATTATATAAACTATTATCCGGGAACCTCCTACATGATTGCAAACCCACCTTGTTTGCTGTGTCCCTCCACATATCGCTCCGAATACGGATGACGCACCTGGGAGGTGGTGTTGCACCTAAAAAGCGCAAAGATCGTAGGACAGGTGTTGTTGTAGTCTGTATTGAAGGCGATTAACTCCAGAAATTCCGAGCCAGCTCGCTTCATATCCAGTTTGACCTTTAAAGTTGTAAATCAAATAGGAAACATTTAGATGTATGAAAATCAGGGAATATATGAAATCCTAAGTAACCTTTTCGAGTTCTTTTTTTGTTACTTTACATAAGTCTCTGATAATTTCTTTAAGCAAAAAAATCAATAATCACATAGTCGAAAGAAAATAATATCCACAAACCGCATTTGGAGAGTGTTTAATATTATTTGTACAATAAAAAAATAAAATAAGTGTTATTTTTCGATTCAAATGTACAACTTACACAGCAAGCGTTATCTGTCAAGCTGAAAAAAGAACTCACATAATAATCTTTGTTTGTAGGGCTCAAATTAAAACTCAACAAATAATTGTTATTTTTTTGGACTTGTTTAAAACTCAAATTATAACTAATAACTCTCAAGTTTTAAATAAATATTAAGACATAAAAATTAATCCCGAAACTTTGAGGCATAAATAATAGTTTGATTACTTCTGGGAGCTTTCTGGGACAATAATATTTTAGAATTATAATAATGATTGCTTTCTGTCTCCGATGAACACAAGTTTACCTTGGTGTGATCCACAATGGCTGCTTTGGTCTCCACTTCAATCTGCCTCAGCTCGCCGTCGAGACTTTCCCTGGTGTATGGAATGATCTGGATGATGTACACCTGACAGGCCAGAAGATTCTTGTCGAAGACCACAGTGGTGTTCTGGGTACTCGAACTGAGGGCCTCCACCTCGACCAGCTTGTCATCCTCCATCCAGCCGGACAGGCGGTAGCCATCGATGCAGAGATCAGCGTAGGCTGGAGTTTGCCAACTCACCTCTATGGAGTAGGCACTGGGCTCCACCACGGGCTCCAGGATTTGCGTGGGTTCTGCATAAAGAAATGACATTACCAATTGAAAAAACGGGTAAGTGGATCACTTACGATCCTCCCCAACGGTGCTCTCTTCCTGAAACCTGACCCCGGAGCTACCATTCAGCTGCGTGGGCACAATCTCCACTATGTACAGCCCGCAAGGATCTAGGTTCTCGAAACTGGCAAACCTATCTTGGGTCACCAACTCGAAGGTTTGGTTAACCGATCTTTGGGTTGGTCCCGTCAGCTTAACACTGTAGTTGGCCACACATCTGGGATGATCTTGGGGCTCCGACCAAGTCCAATGCAACTGGGTGGAGTCCGCAGTGTGAGTGGGTTCATACACAGCACTGACCACTAGATAAAGTTCGAAAGTCGTATGTTTTTATATAAGTATTACACTTTTTAGATATACCCACTCTTTTCGGCCGATATGAATTGCTGGGAAGCCTTGGCGGTGTTGTTGTCATTGATAAACACTTGGAAAGTGTACGGCTCACATCCTTGGAGATCTGTTAAAAGATATTCCCTGAGTTTGCCATCGGCAGAATCGGCACTCCATTCGCACTGAACTAGGGGGGGAAAAATACTTTACATTTTATTAACTATTAATGTTTTATTCAGTACCTCAAGTATTTTTAACAAAAACAACCAAACTGTTATTAATCTAAAATCAAACTAAAATTACAAATGCTAAACACATTTAAGTCATTTTTGTATTCAAAATTATTCTATAGCTATTTTTGAAAGGATTTTTGGTTACGTTTTGCGCTGACCGAAATTTTAGTGAACTAAATCATACGAAACAAAAAACAGCAATAGATTTAGTTAAATATAAATAACACTATAAATCAGTCTCTAATCGAAGAATTTATAAACTAATCTAAAATCGAAATAAAATTTTTTTTTACGACGATAAGTTCAGAAAGATTGGCTTTGCAGTTTAAATGATATTTTGCTCACCGAATTTGAAAAAGTTTACTAGATAGAAGGAAATCTACGCAAACCATTTTTTTTTTGTAATGCTCATATCCTTGTTAACATGTTATTTTTTAAAATTGGCAATTACAAAATTTGTAAAATTTTTAAGTTGCAAGTGACGACTTCTTAATGAATAATGCCCACTTCCAAACTTACCATCATCGTTTGGCTGTTCCGGGGTGGTAGTCTCCAGCTCCGTTGTGGTTGCGGTGATGGAATCCATCTCGGGCGATGTCTCCCTACTGGGTTCTTCCGTGGTGGTGTCCAGAGTTTGATCCTTTCCGCACTCATCTCGGCGCCACTTAAAGAGGTAATTCCGGATGCAGTTCTTTTCGCTGGGATCGCCCCATGTGACTATGGTGATTCCACTCGGGAGGTTCGCCACATTCATGGCGAGATCTCCGGGTTCCGAGTAGTCGGTGTCCACGGTGCTGTTGGCCGTATCCACCACGACGCTGGCATTGTTACGCGTCTCCAGCGTGACTGTGTGCGTCAGACAGGCGTTCAGCTCCTCGAACGTGCAGGTGTTCTTGTCGCTCAGCTGCTCAATGCTCTTCGAGGACTCCGCCCACTTGGCCGTGATCTTGAAGGAATTGACGCAGGCGCGGTCGTTCGTCTGCCATGTCACCTTGATTGTGTTCGCAGTGGCCACCACCGAGTTTAATGTGGTCCTGGGCTCTACAAGGAAAAAGGATTGTCGTTTGTTCAAATTTAAAAATTTAATTTAATTTTACAAATTCATTCATATTTTCAGTCTCTTTCGTTTAAACGTTTTAATTGAATCAAATTTTCTTTTACTATTGTAACAAAATCTTTAACTATATGGCTTAATATAATATTTTAATTTGACATTTTTGTAAACTTATTTTTTTAAGTATCTAAGTATGGATTTAATTTTGTTTTGACTTTCACTTTTAAACATATTTTAAGGAAGTAAAATAACCGTAAAGTGGTTTCTTCAATTATATTCGTGTAAGCGTTTTAATGTATTTAAGTTGTCTCTTAGCTAATGAATCATAATCTTAAATCAGATAATAATTTAAATTATCATTTTATTTAAGATTTAGTTTTGTAAGACGTCCATACAAAAATTTATTTGATTCTATAATCCCAAATGTGCCAGCCTGTTTTGAATTTTACTTTCAGTTTATCTTTTAAGCTTACGAATCAGAATCATGAATTAATTTATTTTAAAAAATTTTTTTAAATATAATTTTGTTTAGGTATTTTAAACTCACGTTTATATTCGGTGTAGGTATAGATCGTTTGATCAGACGGTGGACGATTTTCAGAGTTTGACCGGAATGAAACCACGCACGTATAGAAAGTGCAGGGATTAAGTTTTTCGCTACATATACAAGGTAAAAAATAAGTAAGGGATCTCTAGTTTTAGATAAGTCTTTGTAATTATACCACACGTGATCCTCGTTGGCCTTGGTCTCCGTTCCGGATCCATTGCGACAGGTGATTCCATCTATGGAATATTCCGTCTCATCTGCAATGCTGAAACGCAGCGTATAGGCCGTAGGAACAACATTCACCTCCACCTCTGAAAAGCGAAACGAAATATGAGTTTAAAAACAAAGAATTGTATTGATATTGGAAATCCTTCATTTCTGGACTTAAAAAGGCGTTAATATTTCAAGTGAATTAATATCTTATATGATTTGTTTTGAATTAAAAAAAAAAAAATAGTATACTTATTTAGGTTTTTGTTTTCCTAAAACTTATTTTGAATTTATTTTTTTTGTATCCAAATATATATATTTTTTTTTTATAATTTTAAAAATTCAAAATTTAAAAATCTTGTAGAAAATTGATGAAATGGCCAAAGGGCTCAATATGGCGTATTTCTTTTCAAAAAACACACGAACAACCCTTTGTGTAGTTCACTTGCAAATTTGTGGTACTACAGTGAAAATAAATAACCTTAAAGATCTTTTTTTATAGATCAGATTATTCTTTGTTCTTTAACAATAAAGAGTTTATAAGGAAAAGAATACTTACTATCGGCTAGTTCCTGACCCTCACTCACTAAAATCGCCGGAAGATCGGTTTGTCCTTGGACCCAAGCGATCCACAGGGTTAGGATCAGCCCGCAAACCTTAAACGTTGACTTCCAATATCGTATGTCCATCTTAGGGCCTCATTGCTTCAGTTGCTGTCAAAATTTATGTGAGTAATGCGTTATTAATTTTTAATAATTAATGATTATCGCCCCGGGGGCTAATGCAACCGGTTGCGTCTGGGATTTTCCACAAAGCATTAACCTCGGCCAATTGCAAATCAGTTGGCTTATACACTTTTAATTCGCATGCGAGTATAAACAAATAAATAAGAGTTCACTGTACGTGCGCAAACGAAAGGTGATTCGTAAACAAATTTGTGGCGACCGAACTTTCGTAAATCTCGCGGCAATTCTGATCTCAGATCGCCGAGTTGCTGACCAGCGCAACAATTTAAGGAATAATTTATTTAAGATCTTGTACATTTTCGATTCTCAGCGAGCCAGCGAGCGATTTATGGTAATTGGAGAAATTCCACAAGTAATTGGAAAATATAAACAAAGAAAGATACTTGAGGGAGTTATCTGTAAGTCGGGGGCTTATAGTCAATGTCGGGGAGTCATGGATTTCAGCGGGAATACCTAAAGGCAATTTTTAAGAATGTTTTATACAATGTCGGTCGAAACTTTTGCGGATCGGGAGAATCTTATCAGGGCACTTCACACGCTGGGGAAGTGGCCTGCAGATATAGATACTGATAATAATCTGCTGCTTGTTGGACAACCCAATAATGCTTGCAAAAATTAACGGCTAAAGCACGGCACACATCATTGAATTTAAATGCAATTAATCAAGGCTCTGTTTGCAATCCCATCACGCAGCCGCCAGTTAATTGATTGGGAATATAAATATAGATAGATATAAACTGTATAGCCGATATGCGAGTGCGTCACCGGGACTCTAATCGAGTAAAATACCTCGAAATTGGCAGCACTAATTACTAATTTCAGTTGTTGCCGCGACGGAAGCAGACGAAGACAGCTCTTTAAAGCAAATAAAAAGGCACCTTTTCGATGCCTATTAATGGCATGTTGTTATCTGAAAGTACGGAGTGGGGAATGGAGACAATTTGCCAAGTTCTGCGCTGGGTTCTTGTTTAAACAAATCACAGTGAGGTATCCAAAACACCAAATAAGCCAATAATAACAATTTAACGGTTACACACGGTCTTTATCAATGGCATACAATCAGAGTCACACAGATAACGACGAGCATATGGGTGGGCCATAAATGGCTTTCGATTTCAGAGCTACAATTTAATTGCCATAAAGGCAGGAGGATCTATGTTGGTCAGGATTATCTTTCGTGGCAAAACTGATTCATCCAAAGACCCCAAATCGGCTTTTTAAAAGTTATCGCGGGTGTAATGCGTACAAATGGCTGATTAAATCGAATCACTGATAACACTCGAGTGCCTAAATTTGGCAATTGATTTACATTATTCGGCAATTTGCACAATGAAAGGTTGGAATATTGTGTGTATCGTTGGAAACACTGCACTCACAGGTGGAGTGATTGAGATCGTGGGTGTTTTGATTGCCTTTCCAGGGGAGCGCGAGACCGCGAACGTTTGGGCACTTGTTTGAGAACGAAAGTATCGCCCGAATATTAGTAATTATAACCGTTTCCGCTGAGCGTTAGTCGAACACTGAGCGGGAAAAGGGAATAATTGTTCTGGCGCTGGCCGAGCGCTGATAAGAAAAGTTTACTCCCATCGCGAGCGTATGAGTAAGATAACCAAAGGCAGTTTTGTTACAATTAGCGATCTACAGTGTTGCCAAGCGAATTAAGTAGTTGTAAACCAAAAGTAAACAAAATTATAAAAAACGCATTAAGGAAATATGTTTTAATTTTCGAAAGTTTAAGTAACTATTTACAGTTTCGAATTAATCAAGCTAGTTGGCAATTGAAATCGCGAACTTCTTACTCAGTTGCTTCTATTCAAAGAATAAAGAATTACTACCAGACTCACCTCTTAACATTTTTCGAATTGCGCGCCAAATACCAGGTTGTACCGAAATTTTTTCAAAAGGTAAAATATCGAAAATGTTTTTGGCGGATCATCGATGTTTGAAATAAGATGTAAACGGATATAGCATTTAAAAAGTAGAAGTATTTATTTTCAAAGCAGAGAAAGCCACAAAATAAACGAGTATTTACGTCACTGCAAGCGTTCAATTAATATATTTAACTTAATTAATATAATTAACTTATAATAGTCTTTTAAGTAATAGCACAAATTATACTATGTCAAGGGCTTTGGGTAAATCACTGCCACAATCTGTGTAATGCTTAATTTAAATGTATTGCTTTCTCTTAGAGTTATCACCTTTTTAATTAAATAATTTAAGTTTCCTTTTAAAATAGTTTCGTCATTTTGAGAATTTAAAAATAAAGTGACATTTTTCGGAGTGACCATTTTTTACATTTTTTTACTTGTACATCCCTCAAAACATCGATAAGACCGATATTTTGAAAACATCGATGACATCGACGTTGCCATCGATGTTTCCACACCTCTAACCGAATCCGAAGCATTTTCGTCGCTCGTCATTTTCTGCGTAATTGTTTTCGAATATTTCGATAAAATATAGATAAATAAACGCAATTATAAATATATGAAACAGTAAATTGATGTAAGTATGCGAGTCGCATAGAGAAACTAACGAACGAACCGTCGCGATAACAAAAATGCCAAATCAAATTGATTTTTTGCAACTGGGCAACTGGGAAAAATGAGAAAAAAATGTCATATGTACGACAATATGTATGACAGTGTTAGTGCGCGCGTTATGTACAGAGCAAAATGAGTTAAAACGGCCAACATTTCAATATAGTGCGTGCCATAATGGATATATGTCCTTTTCCCATTTTGCATATTGCCTTTGGGACACTCTTCTTCCTCTTGGCCCCCTCTCTCTATCCAAGATGGCCGTCGTAACAGTATTTTCGTTCGTACTGTTGTTGTTATTGTGTTTGCTTTGTGTTTGTTATTGAAAAGAGAAAGAAATAAGAGAAAGAGTTATGCAAATATGCACAATTTAGTGTTCACAAAAAGTAAAATAAGTGGAGAAACAAAAAACGATTACATTTTTTACAACCACCAGAAAGCTATGACACATCGCCTGCGTTGGTGTGTGTGCGTGTGTGAGTGTCGATGTCTGTAGATTTTCGCGCATGTGTTGGAGTCCTCCCCCTCGCCAAAAGCAAAATTGATCGATTTTTAGCCAAGTCAAGTCCCCGAACAGCCCGATTCCTTGCATACTTCTCGTTCCCCTTTCCCCATAGACCGACCGCCTAACACCTATTACCCAGCAAGAAATAGCCCAAACCAGTTCTGCCAATGCACAAGAAATCTCGTTTACAGTTTTTCCGTTTTGGGCTTTTTTGCTGCGGCATTCTTTTAGGTATTCAAGACCCGTTGCTGTTTCCCAGAATGTGTGGAAAGCGCTCCTGACACTGCAAATTGTTTCTATTATCTCACGAGCTTTTTGCACGTTCCCAGCTGTGGGTTAAAATCAGTTAACTGTTGGTTCAAGTCCGCTCTGGGGTTAAAGCTGGAGTTCAAAGCTTTTGGGGCTATTGTTTTCCTTTCCCCCTCTGTGCACTTGAAAATGCAGTTATAGTTGCATTTGCTAGGCTCGTGTGTGTGTATTTGTTAATCAATGAAACACGCAAATAAACAACAAAAGCAAAGGCAAGTGCAAGGTCTGTTTGCCAGAGCGGGAGAAAGAGAATCGCGCTCGGCCTTACAGAGAAAGGGGAAGTGAGAGGGAGCATCCTTATTTGACGTGTGTGCGTGTGTTTTAGGTGTGCAGCCCTGGTATCTGCCCCTTGCCAACTATCTCGCTCTCACGCCCACGCGAGAGCATTTAAAATTCATATATTAAATAAGCTTAAGCAAGTGCAACAATGAGAATCGCATTTTTTTGTTCACTGATTTAGTAACATTTCTGGCGAAGCGTGCGACCCAAACGCCCCCTTCTTATTGTTTTTTTTCCTATGTGGCACACACAAATAGCGATACGGTTAAAGTGCGCATGCCTTTGTGTTGAGGAATGACTGGTTGCCACAACACAAACACTGTTGACTCTGTCCGCCGTTTGGGCGCTTAAAGGGACCCCATCTTAACCCTACTCGCTGCCCACGCTCCACTTTTCCATTATTAACCCGTGACGCTACTAGCACTTTTTATTGATTTTTCTGAGATATATTTAGATGCGCAGTTAGTGGTAGCCACACATCCACCCGCCTACAATATTAAAATGATGAGCTCTGAGTGTGCTCCCATACAGCTGATAAGGCCGAATAGTCCAAGTCTCGCTCAGTCCATGAGTCACGGCTATATTGAGTGGCGGTTCCGATTCGGCCTGCGAACTCGTTTGGTCAGTTTTGGTTTGTTTTTTGCCATTTTTGCTAGTTCAAAAAAATCGTTAAATATCATTTGACCAAAAATAATTTGAAAACGTCATTTCCTAGTCCGTTTTGTGCGAGTGTGTTGAACAGCTGGGGTTAAATTAATAGCTCTGGTTTCGGGAAGTTTGGAAAAGTACGACGATTGGTACCAGTTAAGTCTCTGACAGCAATCACATAAAAATTAGACTTTAAAAATATTCTAATTTCTAAAATTGTAATAGGTAGTATTAAAATATGTACCAACAAGTTTATATTGAAAGTTAATAAGTAGATATTTAGTTGGTATTTATATTGTTTGTTGCTATCAACAGGTATTTTGTATGCAGAACAATTTATTTATTTACTTAGCAAAGGTCTAATATTTCTACCGCAAGTGTCTATTTTTGTTCTGCTTCTTCGCTTGCACGCTTTTTCGTAGCCTTATTTACCTATAAGAAGTTGCTTGAACTACCGTTAAGTCCGGCTAATTGGCTTTGCCTTGCCGTCGTTTTTACAGGTAGTTGGCAAAGCGTCAGTTGTCCATCGTTATCAAGTACGCCAGATATGCGTTAGCCTTTGTTTCTGATTATTGCTTTATTGCGTGCTTTACCACCTGTGATTTGTCCGCCTTGAGTTGATTGAATAGGTCTGGGCAAACCCAAAAACAACACACTAATTATTGCAAAAACTTCTGCTGCGCTGTTTTTGCCTAATTCCATTTGGAAGCTTAGATTTTCGCGATTGGCGAGCGACCCTTGAACTTATTGATGACGAGTGCAGTTTGTTTCCAGGGTTACCTACTTGCTGTTCGCTTTGAGCTTTACCAGCTTTTCGATTATTATTCTCTGTCCAGACAACACAAAAATGTGTGCCAGAAACCAAAGAAGATGATAATGATGATGCTCTGCTTTGGGCTTGTAAAAAAGAATACAGCAATTTAATGACTAGACGAAAGATGAGCATAAGAAACAACATACTGTTGCCAAAAAAAAATCCGAGAAAATGTGGGTGACTTGCCCTCCATGAGAATTCAAACGAAACTCGCTTGCATTTTTGGCATTTAACTTTTGCGAAACCAATTTCCTGTCTCTTGCACAGCAATTCATCAAATGATTATACAGTCAAACTCCGCAATAGTTGATTTTTTAAACTGCTGAAATAAATATATCAAAGAAAAGCAGAAAAGCAAAGTTTGAAGAAATAGTTAAATTAGAAAACAGAAAGAATCATACAATTTGACTTGATACCCAAATCATTCAAATAGGGGCCTAAATATTTAAATTTTCTAACTAAATGTTGCATAGTAATAAAAAACCATGGCAGAACGAAATATTAAAGTAATACAGTAACTTTGTTTGTTGTCTACTTTTTTCATTGCAGAATTGAACGAATTGAAGACCGTAAACCCAATCGAACGAGAGCAGCAAAACAAGCCAAATCGGAAAACAGTATGAAAATGGTGTTGTCGCAGCGGCAGCGCGAGGAGCTGTAAGTCTGAGCTATCCGTTTCCATTAATTCCCTAAACTAACCTGTGTAATCTCTATTTGAACAGTAACCAAGCGATTGCCGATTATTTGGGCTCAAATGGCTACGCCGACTCATTGGAAACCTTTCGCAAGGAGGCCGATCTCAGCACAGAAGCAGAAAAGAAGTTTGGTGGACTGCTGGAGAAGAAGTGGACGTCCGTCATCCGGCTGCAGAAGAAAGTGATGGAACTAGAGGCTAAGCTGACCGAAGCTGAGAAGGAGGTCATCGAGGGTGCGCCCACAAAGAACAAACGGACGCCCGGCGAGTGGATACCCCGTCCGCCAGAGAAATTCTCCCTGACTGGTCATCGGGCCAGCATAACGAGGGTAAGTTGGCATTACTATGATTATTAGGTTGAACTCCTAATCATAAATCTGTGACTATTGCAGGTAATATTTCATCCCATTTTTGGTCTTATGGTTTCCGCATCTGAGGATGCCACCATTAAGATTTGGGACTTTGAAACTGGCGAGTATGAGCGCAGTCTTAAGGGACACACAGACTCGGTGCAGGATGTGGCATTTGATGCCCAGGGCAAGCTATTAGGTAAGACCTAATATTTTTTTTTAAGAAATTATAAGATCCAACTTATTGAATTCGGCTTTTTACAGCTTCCTGCAGCGCGGACTTGTCCATTAAATTGTGGGATTTCCAGCAGAGCTATGAGTGTGTCAAAACCATGCACGGTCACGATCACAATGTCTCGTCGGTAGCCTTTGTGCCTGCCGGAGACTACGTACTGTCCGCGTCGCGAGACCGCACCGTCAAAATGTGGGAGGTGGCCACTGGGTAAGCTAAGAAAGAGTACGTCTTGTATTCGGTTTAGTTGGCTAACCTGTTGACTTATTCTCTCCCCAGTTATTGTGTTAAAACCTACACTGGCCACAGAGAGTGGGTGCGAATGGTGCGAGTGCACATCGAAGGCAGCATCTTTGCCACATGCTCAAATGATCAGACAATACGTGTTTGGTTGACGAATTCAAAAGACTGCAAGGTGAGAATTGCAGTGTTGTAACTCCTGCTGACGATGGAGTCTCACGTTATTTTTGGTTATCCTGCAGGTTGAATTACGCGATCATGAGCATACCGTGGAGTGCATTGCCTGGGCGCCGGAAGCAGCAGCCTCGGCGATAAACGAGGCAGCCGGAGCGGACAACAAGAAGGGCCACCACCAAGGCCCGTTCCTGGCCTCCGGCTCTCGCGACAAAACCATTCGCATTTGGGACGTGAGCGTCGGCCTGTGCCTGCTCACACTGAGTGGCCATGACAACTGGGTGCGTGGCCTGGCATTCCATCCGGGCGGCAAGTACCTGGTGTCGGCTAGCGATGACAAGACCATCAGGGTCTGGGATTTGCGCAACAAGCGATGCATGAAGACGCTATACGCGCATCAGCATTTCTGCACCTCCATAGGTGGGTTCCCAAAAAAAATAACATTGTATTCCGAATATATGGTAATCCCTTTTGCATTTCATTGCAGATTTTCACAAAGCGCATCCGTACGTTATTAGCGGTAGCGTAGATCAAACAGTTAAGGTCTGGGAGTGTCGTTAAAATAGAGGGAAACTCGTCTGCTTACTTCTCAATTTAAACATAAATAAAGTTAATAACTAAATCACATACCCACACACCACGCCCACACATACGAGCAGTCTCAGCCACCTCCGCGGAAGTTTATTTTCCAGACGCTTTCTGTGTCAGCGTCCGAAAGAAAAATGAACATAATTGTATTTTAAAACTGAAATGAAACTGGCGAAAACGAATTATTTATTTAAATGTACGACCTTCTAACTAAACTAACTACATACCTACTATATACAAAGTACATATACATTAATGCCTAAAATATACCTACCTACGATTATCGTTTAAAGTAGAGCCCGCCTCTCCGTTTTACCCCAGCACAGGCTCGCTAAGCAAAAAACAGGCATCCAAAGTTGAGTTTGTCGTAGAATTCGATGAGAATGAAAAGTATTTACGATGGTAAAGCGCAATTCATTCGACGGCTATTTGTTCCAGTGGCACAGAAATGTTTTTCCATCCACAAAATGTAACCGAGCACACGCAGCAATCACTCGATTAATTCAATGACGTTGACGTGTTTAAGTCTTTGCAAACTAAGCAAAATAATAGCTAAATTCGCTGTAGAAGATATAAGCAAAAGAAAGTATTTCAAACAACTTAAAAAACTTGTACTCACAAAGAGAAGTTTGTTATTGAAAATCACTTGAATTGTATTTACTGCTTTTTACCATAACTGAGGTAGTTTTTACGATAACAACTTGCTTATTTTTACCGTATTCATTCACTCTACCCAAAGTCCTGTTTTGTGTTCTTTTTCGCGAAAGGATCTTCAACAAAAACAAAAAACCTTTCAAAATGCTTACAAGTTTAAGTTGTCTTTAAGTTCAAAATATAATTTAACGTTTACGGTTTACATAGTAGAAAATGCTGCAAATCTATTTGTAATTGATTATTTAAGAGCAACGGCAAAAATATACCTATATATAAAAATACTTATAAATAATTATTTGTGGAAAAACGAAAAAACGTATAAATGTATGCAAACAAGTAAGGAGAAACAAAACCAGCAATTAGAAGAAAAGATTTTTTGGATTCAAAGAAATCAAATTGATGAATACAATAAAAACCTGCTTCTTCAAGAAACCAAATGAAAAAGTTTATGCCCACAATTTGAGCGGTGGATTTTTGTCAAGGGTATAATACAAGTCTTGACTCTATGTTGCCTTCGATGTCAAATTTGTAAAGCATTTATTGTACTCAAAAATGCAACATTTGATGCACCTTAAATGATATAAGATAATGCACTGCGCACTAAAGCCATGAAAACTCAATGCATAATTTGCAAACCGCTTTTGTCTCAACCAAAACTGCTTTAAAACGATGGCCTCTGATGAAAACCCCCAAACTCAGGCGATGTATAGGAATCGCTGATATATATTACAAAAGAACTATGAATAAAACTGCAATTTGTTTTATTATTAACTAGTCGGTGCATTTTTAGCAATACATTGGAAGTTAGGTCTGAACTTGACCATCCAATATGGGATTTTCTGTTTCTTGGTGCACATTCGCGGAATCTTTAGACGCTTCATCAATGGTTTCAGTTTCTAGTGGCTTGCTGGCCGTGTTCGCCACTTCTGTAGAAGATTCTTTGCTATTGGCTTTCGATTCTTCTTCTGTTTCCTTTGCTTTTAGGGGTTCCTTGCCCTCATCTTTGGAGGGCACAACTTGATGCTCATCGGGTTCACTCTCCGGCCTCTTATCTGTGTCCTCAGGAAGTCCTTGTCCCTCTGAATCGCTGCCACTGGACTCAGATGCATCCTTTGGCTCCGGCTTCTTTTCTTCCCTCGGCTTCTTGGTCCGCTGTTTCCTCTTCTGCCGCTTGGCCCTTTTCTTGGCTGTTTTCTCCTCGGCCGCGCGTCGGTTGTCGTCCAACTTCTGCTGGAAGGCCTCGTCTGCAGCCTCACGGGAACTCTGATTCTGAATGTTCTTCTGGCGGGCGTATTCCTTTCGGCGTAGGTGACGATACACATGAAACTCGCCTGAGCCTGCTCCTGCACTGCTGCCCATAACATTCCGGACGAAAGTGGGCACCGAAGACATGTAGTCCCGTTCGCGACGCTGCTCTGGTATGATCACGGGCTTATCCTGGACATTAATAATCCTTAAATTAGGAAATTTACCCAGCATGCCTATCAACACTTACCGGGTTTTTCATGAGTTTCTCCAGCTTCATCCGCTGGAGATCTGTGGCGGTTTTAACAAATGGCCGTAGGGGTTTATCCTTGCCATCGGAATCACTGTCCCCAGATCCTGCATCCTTTTTTTTTTTCTTGGGTTTTGTTTCGGGCTCTTTTATCAAGTTTTTTATAAGCGACATTTTTGTATGCCAATAAAAACAGTATTTTGGTGTGACTGTTTTGCATTAACTGACAAATCCATTTCAGTATTTTACCAGACTTGCCGATGCTGAAAAACAACTGTTTTGTACTGTTAATTAGGCGAAGTTATGTTTTAGGTTCGTCAATTTTGTAAGAATCGAATCCGCCGACATAAGTCCGCCGTTTTAAAACGTTTGTGAACGCCATAAGTTCGCCGCAAAAATAACGCCGCGAAAACTTTTAAGATATACCACTGAGAATTGCAAGCTTGAAAGACAAGTAATAGATTTAGAAGCGTAGGTTTTTTTCGGAAATGAATTAAGAAGTTATACAACTCAAAATTTCAAAACAAAACTTAAATGCTGATTTTTAGAGGCTTACGCCACAAGAGTTTCAAGGTATACCACTTCGGAAGCCTAAAAGAAATGTAATGGATTTAGAACTGTAGGTTTTTGGACAATTTTCTGAAATTACGATTTTTTTTGGAAATTTAGAAAGAGGTTACATCGTAAAAATAATGGATTTAGGCTTCCGATTTCAAAGTGTTATACCTTGAAACTCTTGTGGCGTAAGCCTCTAAGCCTCTAAGCATCTGCATTTAAATTTAGTTTTGAAAATTTCAGTTGTTCTTTTTACGATATAACTCCTTAATTAATTTCCGAAAAATAGCATTACAGGAAAGATACCAAAAACCTACAATTCTAAATCCATAACTTATCTTTCAAGCATGCGATTTCGCAGTGGTATATTTTAAAAGTCTTCATACTTAGTTCTTTAAAAATCTGCATTTAAAACTTGGTTTGTTATTTCGGGCCGATTTTCTGAAATTTTTACGATTTCAGAAAAGTGTCATTTCAGAAAAGTGTCCAAAAACCTACAGTTATAAATACATTACTTTTCTTTCAGGCTTCCGATATCAAATTGGTATATCTTTAAAGACTTGTGGCGTAAGCCTTTAACAATCTGCACTTTAATTTTGTTTTGAGTTTGTTTTTAGTTTTTATTACGATTAATTATGTTTAATTTATGTCAATATGCCCTTAATTTTTTAGTTGGTAATCTACAAATTATTATTTAATTATGCAAGCCGAACGATTTTATATTGAAAATGTATATTTCGTTTTTTTTAGGTAACTTTTGTTATAAAGGAGCAAGCTGGTGCATCGGGTCACGGTGGTAGCTCCCATCTCTACTTTACAGAAAAAATACCGCGAAAAATACTAAGCCAGAGCATGCCGCAGCCTTTTTAGGGTATTTTCAAACTTTCAGCCGTTGGCCACTCTCTCAGCCGTCAACAACATAACGCGTTTCTAGCGGATCGGCCGAATTAAATCCTCGATAAGTAATGTGCTGAAAAGAACAAAACTACCAAAGACCCAATTGTCATTAGATGCGTACGAGATCGTTAGCCAAACAACAATCACGTTCACAATCGTCCAGAAAGACACTCGAAAGCGTATCGGAATCGAAGTGCCTGTCCCGAACTCGGCAAGCGGTTAGAGTTGTGTAACACGGGCCTCGCCGAGAAGAAGAAACGTGAACTAGAACTGGGTGTTGTTGCAGGTGAACCAGGAAGAGGAGCAGGAAAAGCAGATAGCATGGCGCTTGAAACGGAGGCAAAGAATTCAAATTCGAATCCGAGTGATGCGGCCGCAGCAGCAGCAACAACAAAGACCAGCGGCAAGGCCAAGGAGAACAACAACACGGTCGGCGGCAAAAAGAACCTGAACTCGCAACCGAATCAGCAGAATTCGAATCAGAACTTGGTCAATGGCAATGGCACGGTTGCCGACGGTCCCGCTGCGAAGAAGAAAGGTGCGTTCAACTTTACCACCCCCACCCCCACCCCCTTTTGCTGCCATGGAAACTGCTGCCTCAATATTTTATTTGCCGCAAATGTTCAATCACATAACAATTTTAACATTACGTAATGGCCTTTTTCGCCCCTATAATGCTTTAAAAGCGGCGCCCGTTGTCTATGACTGCCCCTCGCGTCCCCCTTTCGATCCTCTCCGCCCCCCTAAAAACCGCGTGCATTGCAATTGTAAATGTAAATGTGTGTGTATTGGAGTTTAGTGCGTGTGCGAGAGCTGCAAGTGTATTCCTCTCTATTTCTCTCCCCCTTTCTCTTCACATGGCAACGCACATGTTATTAACCCGCCGATGGCGGCTAAATGTTCATTAACCCCCCGGGCGGATTTCTTGTTGCGTTTAACCTACAATTAACACGTGCGCAGACCAAAATGCATGCACCTAACACACGCAAATTGCTCGACAATTATGTAAATCATGTTTTCTGTCCGCCAGACGCATCGCATCAGACTCAGAAGAAGAGTCTACACATCTCTCTCGCGCTCTCATTACTTATCACTTTTGCTTTCCCGCTCTCCCACTCTCTCATTCTCTCTGTCTCTCACAGTGCTGTAATCTAGTATATGACTGTTGAAATTAGCATGGCCGTGCTAAACCCATTTCCCCGAGAGATCGAAAGGAGATTGGAATATTCGTTGGGTGTACGGACTCCGAAAGATCCGAAACCATCGAACCCGGCCCCTTTGGCCTTATCAGCTCGCTTGCCTTATTCTGTTTGTTTTTCTGCCGTTTTGTTGTTTGTTCTGTGCCTGCCGGCGAACACAGAAACAGTGATCGGCAAAAGTTGGCGTACAAATGGGGTAATTGTTATGTAAAACCGAAGAACCACCTTTAGAATTCTACAAACTCTGAAAACAGATGTCTGGAACTCATTTGAATGTGTAACTTGTTGGCTGCTTTGCATAACAAACAATATGTATTTGGTGATACACTTTAAAATTGAGAGCTAAAACTTTAAAGAAAGTTTCAAAACTTAAAACATTAAATAATAACACTTTGTTTTATGTGTACATTTGTATGAAAATTGTATACAAAAAAAAAACCATTATAGCACAAGTTCTTAAGGTTCTTATCTATAAAAAATCATATGATTAAGAGTTGCGATCTTCATAAAATAATAATAATATTAATAAAATATATAACTTTGTTGTTACTCTATATTTCAGTTATTTGGTTTTCTTACAGCCCAAACTAAAATTAAATTGGTTAACATACGCTTTTTTATTAAATTTAGGAATTTAGAAATTGGTTAAATCTTTTTTAAACAAAAAAATATTGTAACAATTGCCTACACTTTATAAAAACCTACGTGAGCGAGGTGTTACAGTAAAGAACAGATTTCTAGAAATAATAGCCGGTCCAAAGTTCACGTTTTTCCATTCATCGACATCGTTACACAATGCTCCAGATGCTTATCCTAATATTGACTAACAAATTACACTTTTTGCTTCCTCCGCAGGCAAGAAGAACCGCAACAAAAGCCCACCCGAACCCACTGCCGTGGAGCCCGTGGAGGCGGCTCTAAGCAACGGACATGCCGAGAAGTCTGGTGAGAACGAATCCTCCGATGCCAATGCCAATGTGGAAAAATCGGAGGTCGTCGGAGCACCGGATGCCGAAGCAGATGCGGAGGACATCGACCTGGACGCACTGCATGACGTTGGAATCACGGTTAACATCAGCAGTCCCGGCTCGGACTTGCTTTGTGTGCAGCTTTCGAGCATGGAGCTGGTGCAGGAAATCCATCAGCTGCTCATGGACCGCGAGGAGACCTGCCATCGCACCTGCTTCTCGCTGCAGCTGGACAACGTGACGCTGGACAATTTCGCTGAGCTGAAGACAATCGAGCATCTGGAGCAGGGCTCCACCATCAAGGTAGTTGAGGAACCATACACCATGCGGGAGGCACGCATCCATGTGCGCCACGTTCGCGATCTTCTCAAGAATCTGGACCCGGCGGACGCCTACAATGGCATCGACTGCACCTCGCTGACCTACCTGAACACCATCACCCAGGGAGATTTGTTGGACAAGAAGAAGACGCGGCCGGACTCTGTGGATTGCACGCCGCCGGAGTATGTGACTCCGGGCGTGTCCGAACCGCCACTTCTGCCACTGCACCCGAATGTTAAGAACGCCAAGGGACCGCAGGCCCTTAAGGTGCTCACCACATCCGCCTGGAACCCGCCACCCGGTCCCCGCAAGCTGCACGGCGACCTCATGTATCTGTACGTTGTCACCATGGAGGAGAAGCGTTTCCACATCTCTGCCTGCTCCAAGGGCTTCTACATCAACCAGTCGACAGACGACACCTTCAACCCCAAACCCGACAATCCCAGCCACCTCAGCCACTCGCTGATCGATCTGCTCTCCCACATATCGCCCTCGTTCCGACGTGCCTTCCAGACCATCCAGAAGCGCCGCACCATGCGCCACGCCTTCGAGCGGGTGGCCACGCCTTACCAGGTCTACCAATGGGCGTCGCCCACATTGGAGCACACCGTGGACGCCATTCGCGCCGAGGATGCCTTCAGCTCCAAGTTGGGGTAAGTGCAATCTGAATCTGGTGATGTTCATTAAAAAAAAATTACAAGTTTAACATATTGTGCATTCATTTCTTGGTATATTTATTTGTGGACAATCAATTTTGGATAACGTAAAATTGAACAACTTAGTTTACCAACCAATTTATAAGTAAAACACCATTCATTTAACGAATATACATGCAAATATATATGTAAAGAATATATTTATTTATTTGTGCAATTCTAACTTAGAGTTGGTAAAATATTATGTTAGTTTTTGCGATATTTGTATTTCATTAATGGCTTCTCATCTTACCCCGCAATTTATTAATTTATTTTTGTCTGTTGCCCTCTCATCCCGCAGCTACGAGGAGCACATTCCGGGACAGACGCGCGACTGGAACGAGGAGCTGCAGACGACGCGGGAACTGCCACGCAAGACACTGCCGGAGCGCTTGCTGCGCGAACGCGCCATCTTCAAGGTGCACGGGGACTTCGTGACCGCCGCCACGAGGGGCGCCATGGCCGTGATTGACGGCAACGTGCTGGCCATAAATCCCGGCGAGGACTCCAAGATGCAGATGTTCATCTGGAACAACATTTTCTTCTCGCTGGG